GGGCTCCTACAGCAGGACTTTGGCTCCCTGTGCTTTCCTGGTGCAGCTGAGGCTTCGGTGTCGGGGTGGGAAGAAAGCAGGTCATTCATAGCTGTAGCTCAGACCTACAGGAGACCTGGCCTGGCCCTGTCTCTTGTCAGGACACTGTGTCCCCTACAGTGTCTGGTCTGCCCTGCTGGCAGGGACTGCTTGTTTGAATGCAGAAGCAAGGGGTGACGGTGTGTTGCTTTCACTGATTGGTAGAAGGAGTCTTCACTCAGAAGAAACAAACTACTTGCTTCCCTTTCCTCAGGTCTTCCCCTAGCATGTTCCAGTGGATAGCACCTTCAAGCCTCTCACCTGTTTCCTCAGCGTGGCTGCTACATGTGGGCGACACTGACACCAGCGAGGCAGCCTTGGACAGTGGACATGGGCAGCTGACCCTGAGCTCCTGTCCCCAGCCTCCTTTCCAGCTATAGGGTTACAATACTTTCTCTCTCCAAGTGGGAGCAGGTGCCTAGCTAGAAGCAAATACTGGAGATGTGGGCCTTTCACAAAGGAAGGTTGAGAAAAAAATAGAAAGGGAGATTGCCTGCCTGCTTCACCCATCTGGAGCCTGGCAAACAATTGCTTGAGGACATGGTTACTGTGTTTTGACCGCAGAGCCAGGTGAGGGTTATTAAGTGTGTTGACTGTGAAGCCCTCCCCTTTTCCCCATAAACCAGCATGCCTGGGACAGCAGTGCTTTGAAAACTTTATCCTCTGTCCCATCACCTGGAGATCTTGTTAAAATGCAGAGGTAGCTCCCCATTCTGCCTGGGTAGCTCCCATGGGGCTTGAGAGTCCATGTATCTCACAAGCTCCTAGGTGATGCTGGTCCATGGACCACACTGAGTAGCTAGGATCTAGCACCAGCTTGGGAAAGGCTGTTCCTTCCCTTGGTCCTTCAGATCTCAGAATCTTAACCTGAAAATGAAATGAATTACAACTATACTCCCTTCCCTACTCTGAAATTCCATGTATGTGTTTTGGTTTGGTTTTTTGTTGTTGTTGTTTTTTTTTTGTTTTTTGTTTTTTCTCCGGTACCGGGAACCGAACTCACGACCTTGCGCTTGCCAGGCAGGCGCTTTGCCGCTGAGCTAAATCCCCAGGCCCCATGTATGTGTTTTTTTAAGGTTTAAATTATAGATAAGCACCACCACTACTTCAACATTTAAAATTTTAAGCTACCCAGAAATTTGAATCTTAGAAGAAGTTATCTGGCAAGATACAATCTAAGATGTCTTTGAGATACGAGCTAAACCTAGGAATCTGATGCTATACATTTTTAACTGATTTTTTGTGGATTAATGAAAATATATGAGGTTATCTTTCCTTGATTGTGCTGCTTTCCTGTTATCAGCAAAAAAAAAAACTTACAAAGAGCAATAGCAATTTAAGCTTAAGTTAGGAACACAAGGTAATATATTAATGTACCTTAAACTATGCTGATTCCATGGCTGTTTAGCAGATTCTTATTAACAGCCATTTATCTTCTTAAACCCTACATTGCATAGCATTTTAAAAAATAACTGTCCTGTGCTTTAGCTAGGGTGGGGGCTTTGTGTGTTTCTCAGAATGTGCAGTCTTTTAAAAAATCTGTCTGTTTAGCCTACTATACATTACATGAAGCTATCTTTACCAGGGATTTCAGCAGTGACTGATAAATACTGTCTGCTGGAAAAACTGTCTTTAAGAGGAAGAGGCCACCATTCTCTGCAGCTCTTGCTGCCAGATCCAGTGGTACCCAGCTGGAGCCTCCTGGCAGAGATGAGTAATTAGGACGCTGTCTCATGTGTTCGTGGGCTCTGGGGACAGAACAGTGACACTCGCTGTCAGTCATTTTCTGCAGTGGGGATGGTTTGTTTTGATGTCAGTGGTGTGGATAAGGAAAGGAATATTGGGAAATAGGGACTTGCTGCCCCCCAGGCCTGGGCCAGGCCCTACTAACGGTCCATCAGCGGGCTGGCTTCTGCTTCTCGTTGCACTAGGACCACCAGGAGGGGAAGGGCTGAGGTCGGTGTGTGGTCACAGCCACATCTGGATGGGAGCATGGGGGCCAGTAGTGGAGCTGCGAGAAGGAACTCCATGTTGGAGTGTGTGTCTCTGGTATGGAGCAACAGAATCTTGCATTTTCATTTCAGAGAGTCACCTGCCTCTTCCTCCAGCAAGGCCATAGAAACAGCCTTTTAGGATGATATTGCCCAGCAGTATATGAGGTGTGATCAAAATGTATGGTAAATATTTAAAAATTTATTATAGGATCTAGCTCTTGTGCTGGGAATTTAGCTCTGTGCCAACGTCCTCAATTCCACCAAAATCAGTCAATCAAGCATTACATTACATTACTAAAGCCCTGACCCATCAGAGCTGTACCCTGCTCTGCAGATGGACCATCAGCTGGGCATGGTGGTGCATACCTGTAATCCCAGAAACCGGGAGGCTGAGGCAAGGGTATTGCCACAAGTTCAAGGCCAGCCTGGGCTACATGGTGAAACCGAGTCTCAAAAAAGAAAAAATTGAAAGATGGACCATCAGCACTGTGAAGATGTCTGTTCTCTTCTCCCAACCAATGCAAATATCTGTAAGTAAAATCTAGTGGCGTTCCAACAGCAGTTTTGTGTAGAACCTAACAGGCAAATTTAGAAGTCTATCTGGAACTCACCCCAACACCCAAACTTACTCTGATCCCATTCCTCCTGCTTCGGTTCCTGGCAGTGCCATCCACGAAAGTACTTAGGACAAAAGCCGGCATTCATCCTGAGTCTGTTCTGTTCCTCAGTCCCGGCTACCTCCCGGCAAGCCCGGCCACTCTACCTTCAAAATTACTGTGCACCCCGCCCACTCAGCTTCCTCAGCATCCAGCCACCTCCCATGCTCTGCTGGGTTGTGCAGCAGCCTCTGAGCAGCTGCTCCCTGGCTGCCACTCTTGGGGTCTCCCTGAGTCCCCATGCAGTACGCAGGTGGAGGCCTGCACCGCCTTACCTGTGCTGTCTTCCCTGTTTCTCCTACCTCATCTCCCACCTTTTCCTGGGCTGAATTGTGTCCCCCTGCCCAAAGATGTACAGACGCCCTGGCCTCCAGTGCCTGCCGGTGTGATCTTATTTAGAAGTAGGGTCTTTGCAGATGCAGTTGAGATATACCTTTAGATGAGCAGGGTTTTCCCACCACAGCAGGCTGGGCCCTTCATCCAGTATGACTGGAGACAGACACATACAGCGGAGGGCGCCATGGGAGGACAGACACGGGGATGCGGCCACACGGAGGCCGAGGCAGACAGTGATTCTGTCTGAAGCAAGAAGTGCCTGTGGCCACCAGAAGCTATAAAAGGGAAGACTGGCCCACTAACACCTTGTGTTCAAACTTCCAGCCTCCAGAACTGTGAGAGAACCAGTTTTATGCAGCCCCAAGAAACAAGTCCAGAGGCATCGTATGTCATGCTCAGTACTCAGTACTATGCTCTCAGCACTGCCTGATGTGGGAAAAGGCTCAGTAAACACTGAGAGTGATGAAGGAAAGGCAAAACCCAGCCCAGGAGATCTGAAAAACATCAGTAAGGATGGACTTGATCTGCTAGACAGTGAAACATTTTATGAAGCCCAGACCATGGTATTGGCTGTCAGCACAGGTCAGCACAGTGGAGCAAAGGCCTCAGAGTAGACTCATGCCAGTGGATCACTCTGTCTATGAGAAAGGTGTGGATTTAATCAGCTGGGAAGAGAGGTTGATGTTTGCTCAATGATGTTGGTGCAGTTAACCAGTAGAGGACCTAACAGGGCTCTTGCTTTATTCAGGCGGATATTTAGACCAAGCCACACCTGGCACACTGACTCAGAAAGGAGGTGGCCAGGAACATCAGTGTATCATCAGGACGGGGCCAGCATGGCTCCTTGACCTGAGGAGTGTGTGGGCTTCATCGCAGTTCATAGATACACAGTAACTAGCTCCTCCTGCAGTTTAAAGCCTCATGCCCCACAAGAGCCAGGCTCCCTCATAAAATCCCTATATACATGGATTCCAGGGCTCACAAAAAGGATCTGCCCCATTATAAAAGTCACCACACCCAAAGAGGCTTTAACCCTGGCATCCTGCCAAGGGTTTATTACTCACTTAGAGACCTTTCCTCTCCATAGGCAACTTGTCAGTCAGGGTCATACTTAGCATAAACCATTTTGAATTTTAACAGTCAACAATCTGCCTGTGTGGGGCTTTTAAGTGATTTAGTTCACTTTCTGTTGCTATAGCAAAATACCTGAGGCTGGTTACTTTATGAGGAAAAGAGGCTGTTAAGCACACAATTCTGGAGGTCCAGGAGTGTGGTGCTGGCATTGAGTTCTGGCGAGGGTCTTGTGCTGGTAGCATGACATGGCAGATAGCATCACATGGTGGAAGAGACAGAGAAGAGAGTAGAAACAAGAGACTAGGGAGGGCCAGGCTTAACCTTTCATAACAACTCACTGTCATTCTTGAGAGAATTAATCTCCTCCCTCAGACCAGCATTAATCCCTTCATGAAGTCATGGCCCAGTGACCTCTCCCTATCCCACTAGGCCCCACTTCTTAAAGGACCCACCACCTTTTGGTACTGCCACCCTGGGGTCCAAGCTTCCAGCATATGAGCCTTTAGGGGACAAAGACAAACCACATTCAAACCATAGCACCAGGGAACCAGAACCAGAGAATTAAGCAGATGTCGAATTCTCATGCAAAAAGGAAAAAAAGTTTTGCTAAGCCTTTGATCATAACTGTCCCAATGGATACTGATTAAGTTAGAAACCTTCATTATATTATACATTAAAATGAATCCCAGAGACAGTTAAGAGTTAAATATAAAAAATTTCAACTTTCAAAGTATTAGAAAAAAAATAGGAGATGCTTTCACAGGTTCATAATATGGAAACACTTTAAGCAAAGCATAAAACTCAGAAGCCAGAAAAGAAGAAATGGACAGATTTAAGATACATTTTTATTGTAATACAGAAATAGAAAAGTGGGCACACTCAAAGTGCACACACCCTCATAAGCAGCAGCTGGATCTAGAGATGGAGTGCTGGGAGCACCTGGGGCCCCTGCCTGCCCCTCACTCTGTCACACTGATAGATTTGACTTTGTGAAAGTGGAAAGCTCTATATATCACAAAACACTCAGAATACAAGCAACCTCCCAGAAGGAAACTGCATACAACCCTTTGCAGCGTGTAAAGAGCCAACAATGGAAAATCGTGGCATACAAAAGAGCTCCTACAGATCACAAAGGACACATAGTGCAACAAGAAAAACTGGCGGGGGATATAATAAATGATTCTCAAAAGGAAAAGTACAAATGGTCCAAACAATGGCGCTGGTGCAGCCAGCTCTGCCTAGTACAGCTGTCTGTGTGTGATCACGGTCGGAGGGGTAAAGGCTGAAGCTCTCTTCTGCCTCGTTTGTCTGGCAGTCTCTTCCTGTGATTCAGGCATGGAGCAGGGTTGAGCAGAGGCCCTGAGTGACAGAGTTACTTGGTCAGCCACCCTCCTTCCTGGGCCTGCAGCTGGGCCCTTGCATCTGTCTCCCTCCCCATGGCCTGACCCCTTCCCTGGTTCTCTGGTGTACAGACTTCCCCAGGGCCCCGCAGGCCTCCAGACAAGCCCAGGCTGGACTTGCCCTTTAGGGAGCACACGTGCTTAGCTTCCAGCCAGGACCTTGAGCTGCAGGCTCAGGGCTGGGAACATCAAGGCAAGACTCAGGTGCTTGGGGTGGGGGGGCTGCAGTGTGCAGCAGTGGGTGTGGGGCAGGTAAGGCATCCAATCTGAAAAGGCCAGGGTTTAGGAGGACAAAACAGATGTCCGGGACAGGCGTCAGAGGCAGGCAAAGCGCTCCTTCTGCAAAGGCTGAAGTCCCCCAAAGAGGCACTCTAGAACCAAGGATGTCAGGGGCTGGACCCTGAAGCCCCCTTGCAGAATGTTCCCCTGCACTCCTGTTAGTAGGGGAAAGGTCCGAGGCCTTGAATAATGCACTGCTCGGCTCAGTGTTTCTCCGACACTGTTGAACTTTAGTTCATAGAACACATCTCAGGGTACACCCGTGTCCCTGGGGACACAGTTTGGGAATCCCTGCTGTGACATGATTAAGCTTCTTGTGCCATATACTGACCCAGCCCAGAGGCCTTTTTTTTGTTGGCGGGAAATGCTGACTCCATGACAGAAAGCCTTTGGCCTGTAAAGCAGAGAAAGCTGTTTCCAAATCAGTGAAACACTGGAAACTAGGGTTGTCTGAGAGGATTCCTTCTGCCCTTTTGTGGTAAATAGCTCAGATGTTCTCCCAGACTCCTGCTTTGGCCTCCCTAGCTCTGGCCTTTGCAGTTCGGTAGACACAGGTAGAAAAAGAGGCGGAAAGAGTAAGGGACAGGATGCCCCAAAGTATGCACGTGTGGAGAGTTGAATAATGAAGCCTAATTCATGTGTTTTCTCAGGGTTTACCTGGTCATTTGTTCCTTCTTCTCACGTAGGCCCTTTGCCATTGTGCTTATCTGAGACGCGGGCTGCCGGGAACCCCAGGTAGAGCCCTGTCTGGCAGTCCTCACAGTGTACCTGACAGAGGTGAACATGCAGGGCTAATTACACTGCTCATTTGGCTAATTTTCTCATCAGACAACATAAGAAGTAAAAAAAGAAAAAGGAAAATCAGAGAAGCCTGAAAAATGAATTATGGCCTATTTTCTGGGTTCTGGGTTAAAATATGACGTAGGAATTGACTTTGGTTGATTGCTGGTTCCCCCAGCCTTCTGGAGCGATGCCCTGGTCTTCAGTCAAACTCTGCATTGTCAGCCACTCCTTCAACCTCTCCTTCCACCTGCACCCCCATCCCCAACACAGGGCCTTGGGGCTGCTCTCCCTGGAGGTGGTGGCTACCTTGTCCTCCGGCCCTGGCCAGTGTTCCTCCTCCCTCAGTGGGAAGCGTGCACCTCCTGTGAGAACTGTCTTCTTGGTCTGTTCCACTCGGTGCCCACCCTAGGAAAGGTCACATGCAGAGGACGCTCCACCTTCCCTGCTGGCCTTGCACCTCTTGACCGCCTCAAGGCAGCCTCTGCCTCTTCTCCCTTCATGCTGTGCGCCTGGGCTTCCCATGGATGAAACAACCCCAGAGGATGAGTTCAGCCCCTGCCCCTGCCTCCTTCATCCCACTCGCTCTGTCAGGGCCCTGCTCAGTTTGTCCTAAGCTCACTCAGGCCTGGCGCGTGGACCTATATGTACCTCCCACTGGCTCTTGGTTCCCTGTCCTCTCCTCCTTCTCTCTCTTGCTTGGTTCTTGGCCATGGGTATAAGGATGCTTGCTTACACCTTCTACCCTTTTTACCTGTCTGTCTCCTTCAAACTCGCTAGCAAAGTCCCCGCCCCAAATAAACGCAGCCCCTTCTACCCCCTGCACACACTCATGTGGCCCAATGTGGCCAGAAAGGGACTCAACAGTGGGAATTCTCCCTGCTGTTCAAGCCTTACCTCAGTTTTCACATCTTCCCAAGCCCTCAGCACCAACTCCCTCTCATCTAGTGCTTTTGCTTCCTGCTTCCCTGAGAAAATGAAAGTAAGTAAGAGAGAACTCTCACCTGGTTACTGGCTCTTCAGCTGTGGGCACTGCCCCCCTCCCGTCACAGTGACTGCCCTCTTGTACCCCTCTGCCAGGCCCAAACCCCTCACCTTTAGGATCTCATTCCCACAGGGTCCCCCCTTTCCTTCCTAACTAGGCCATGTCCACCAGTGCACCATATCTCAAGTTAAGAAATGCCCTTTTGCTGGGCGTGGTGGCACACATCTGTTTCCCAGCACTTGGGAAGCTGAGGCAGGAGGATCACTGCAAGTTTGAAGACAGCCTGGGCTACACAGTAAACTGAAGACCAGCCTGAACTACACAGTGAGACAGTGAGGAAATTTTCTCTGCTTGTAGTCCCAGTACTGTGGAAGACTGAGGCAGAAGAATCACAAGTTTGAACTCAGGCCCGGTAACTTTTATTTTGAGACCCAACAGGGCTGGGGCTGGGGCTGGGGCTGGGGCTCAGTACCACAAGACACGGAGACAGAGACAGAGACAGAGAGAAAGAGGAAGGAGGAGGAAGGAAGGAAAAAAGAAAGGAAAGGAAGTGGAGGGGAGGGGAAGGGAGGAGAGAAGAGAGGAGGGAAGGAGGGGAGTGACTCAGCCCTTATTTCTGGCCCCCCACGTGAGGGCTCGTGTACACGTGTTGTCACATGTTGTCACGTGTTGTTCATATGTCCTGTCTGTGCGGTCCTTACTTGCTGTATTAGCTTTCCCTCCTCGCTCTCCCTTGAGGCTGTCCCGTCCTGGCTTCTGTCCGGGGGCTCCTCTGAAACCTTGCTTCCAGGCCCCTGGGACTCCTCTGCCTTGTGGGTCCACCCCTGGCACTCCCAGTGTTCACACCTACTTCCCGCAGTGTTCTCTTCCTTTGCCTTTTGCAGTGCTCTGTTCTCCTGGTTGGAATCCTTCCTCGCTGCCTGTTTCCCCCCAGGATCTAGGACAGTGTCCCAGGCACCTGGAAGGCAAGCTTCCCAGAGTGTGTGAATGCGACTGTGACCCCTCTTCCCTCAGGCTCCCCAGCTCCCTAAAATCTTACACGCGGAGGGGTGGGAGGATCACTTCAGGAGGGAGTGTGTACTGCTGGGCAGACAGGGAGGAGGCACTGAGGTGGGGACGAATCTCCTGAGCTAGGAAGAAGAGGTGGGGAAGAACCGAACTGGGAACTGGTTTGGCTGGTTTGTGCAGGAAGCAGTGATGGAGCAGCTGGAAAGTAGCTAGGAGCAGAAGCTCTCGCATGCAGAATAGACAGATGGAAGCCTCGATCCAGGTGGACTCCCTGGGGAGACTGAAGACCTAGAACTGAGCTGGGTGTTCGGCCACAAAAAGAAGGCACGTTGCTCCAGTGCCCAGAGAGAACATGCACAGGGTTGGGGGGGTGTCAACGAAGCAGGTCCAAGAAAGTCACCTGAAGAGAAGATGGGGTCTCAACTCACCCTCAGGATAGAACAAGAGTGTGGGCCTGCAATAAAGGGGCACGGTATGATCTGAGTTGGGGCTGTCTTGTGATAGTGATCTATGATATGCATTCCTACTGCCTGCCAGGACTGTCACTGGACAAGGTCTGAGAAGGTCCCCAAAGCAGAAATGGGAAGCTAAATCCACCTGTGGTGGACTAACAACTGGTGGTCAACTTGTAGCACCCAGCTGAACTGAACCAGCCTGGTGCTGGGTGTAGGAGGCCCCCCTGAGGATTGTTGCCAGCAGCATAAGAGGCAGAACTGCAGACGAAGTTTAAAAGCCATTGGGAGCTGTTGGAAGCTGTCGGCAGCTGTTGGAAGCTGTTGGTTTTCCTGGAGGAGCTTGTCATGCTGGCTTTTCTGATGAACTCAGCTGTTCTCATGGTCAAAGGAGCTTGGGACCTCACTGTTGCTGACAATGGCTGTGGTTTGCTTTGGGGGAGCTCTGATACCCACTTTGAGCATTGCTTCCTGGCTCCGGAGGGGAGGATGATGCACTGCTCACACTTCTAGAGAAGCTTGTCAACTTGGCTTTGCTGATAGGAGCCTAGCTCTTCTCATCTTTGGAGGAGTTGGGACCTCACTGCTGCTGAGGATGGCTGTGGTACTTTTTGGGGGAGCTCTGATTCCTATTTTGAGTGTCACTTCCTGACTCCAGTGCAGATCCCTCAGCCTGGTAGAATAGATCATCCCACTGGCACAGACTTTCTAGTTTCCACCACTGCTTTGGGCCTTTCCAGCACAGATCCGTGAAACAGGCCTGCATGAAGCATTGCTGTGGGCTCTTGGCCTTCATTTGGACTCAGAGGGGCATTGTTGTGGGCTCTAGGTCTTCACCTGCACTCATGTAGGACATTACCATGGGATCCAGGCCCTCAGTTGGATTCTTTGGTCTTTAGTATGTGGACAGATTTCCTACACTCTTTGTATATGACTGTTTGGGTGGTTATCATAAAATAATCTTACAAATATGTGTCTTGTATGGTATTGTTCCCCTTGCAAAACCCCAAACTACAAAACCACCCTAACTGCAGAATAAGTTGCAGGTTCACTGACTCCCATTGTAGCAAGAAAAAAATTTTGGGACACATCACTAAGAGGCCTAAAGGGATTATTAAGCACAAGTTTTAAAGTACATACTCATAGAAATAGAATGCGATCCTCCAGAGAGAGGCATGTGGTAATCTGGGGCTTGATATATTTATGGGTGATTTAAGAGTAGAAATCTGTGTAACTTGTGAATCGATGGAAAAAGGGGATTCAACTAACAGATGAAAGGTGGCAGCTCTTTCTGGGGGTAACAGTTGGTGCCCCATTCATAGGTGACAGCCATCACAATTATCACAGTGTTAGAACTATAGCCCACCCACAGGGAAAGGCCTATTTTAAAGGTGAAAAGAAGTGATCCAGTCCCAGGTAAAAGAGGCCCATTTGGAGGTAAAAGGAATTGCCTGTGTTTGCTTATTGTCTCTTGGGAGAAAAAAAAAATTTTAACCTGGGCTTGCATCCTGACGCTACAGTTTTTATTTTTAAAATTATGATTTTCCTTGTCTCCTTTTTACCTATTTCTTTGGTCCTACTCACTGCCCTAAAACACTTTGATCCCTTATTTGTAGTAAGGGGTGCAGAGGGGCAGAAGTTCTATTTTCTTGTAACTGCTTCAAGCTGACGCGGGACTCTGACCCTACCTAGCCAGGGAACAAAAGCCTGATTTCAAAAGAAGATGGGTTTTGTTGTTTGGTAAACCATCATCTTTTGACAGTCAGGAAAAGAGGACAAGAATGTTAGCAAGGTATTGGAGCTTAAACTTTATCTTATAGCCATGTTAAATAAGCAAGAGCCCAAAATTAAAATTAAAATCTTGGGGAATAGTGGTTCTAAAAAGTTGTACAAGGCAGAAAAATATTAGGTAGTATTTGAGATAAACCTTTTATTTTTGATATTAACCTCTATTTGTTTTGAAGTGTTTACCCAAATATAACAAGTGGAGTTTAAGAGCATACAGACTCCTTGTTTTGTCGACAAGCAACCTAATATCCTCCTATTTTAATAACAACAGTGAAGGAATACACTAAATAAAGATATTTATGTTTTTGTGCCCATCGGACCATAACTTTTTTTTTTTTTTTACTATAGTGCTTAGAACCTGTATCTGGCATGCATTTTGTAGACTTGAAGGCTTTTTATAGTGACTTGCTCTAGATAATATAAACATATAAAGTCTGGAGTAGATAACAGAAAGTTAGTTCCTACCACAAAGGTAACAAGGCTTAGTGGCTGGAAAATTTATTTGTGTTGCCATTGTTATTTTAGAGGCACACCTATACAAGAAACTAAATCTTTACCTGGGGGTATTTTAAAATACATTAAAATGGGAATGGGAATATACTAAGAGAGACTGAAGGACGGAGTTTTGGAAGGACTAGTGGGACTGGGATCAAGACTTTTGGGACTATAGGCCAGAATGTTAAAGGTGCTTGCCAGTAGGGGCTGGTATAGTGTTTGGCACCCCTTTTACATCTCGCCTTTGCATTTAATATTACTATGCAAGCCAGGAGATAGGGAAATCTAGGCAGATAGGGCGCAGGTCCTAAATAGTTAATTTAAACTAAACTAAAAGTCAGGGCTTAAGTAAATTAGCATGCCAGACCATCAGGGCCTAATAAAATGCAAGAGACAAAAGAACAGCTCCTTAACCAAGTGGGAGATCTTGGAGGAAGTAAAATACAAATGAAGCCGCTTGCTTTCCAGACATCAAGGGCCTACCTGCGACCAGGAGCATCTCTCTCTTCTGCGATGGACATGTACACGGGTCCCAAATACTGTGTAAAAACCCCAAAGACCTAAACATCTGCAGTGCCCACCTTCCAGAGCACCCCTGTCTGACGAGCGAAGAGCTTCTGTCTTATTTTTTCTGATACCCACACATCTGGCCATTCCCCACCACTTGCCCTTTGCTGTTTTGTAGGCTTAAATCTTCATTGCCTCAAAACAAGGACTGGAGATCTGGTTACACTATTATCCTATACTTTTCTGCAGAGTGTTTAAGATCAAGTCAGAGTAAGCCCTGTGTTAATCAAAATGTATCTGTCTGTCTGTCCATCTGTCTTTCTTTCTATATATGTCAAGGTCAGCAAAGGCTCCTCAGGGCTACTTATGGAGCCAGGTGAGAGGCCTCTTAGCTCCTCTAGTTTTTTTTCCTCTACCAGTTGTGACCGACTACTGCTGGGATGGGTCCCAGTCTTGCTTGACCATATGGCTTTCTTTTGAAAAAAAAAAAAAAAAAAAAAAAAAAAGTAGATAAGAGAAAGATAAGAAAAGAGAAAAGAAAGAAAAGAAAATTTAACCAGGCCATGTCCTGAAGCTACAGTTTTTAGATTTTAAATTATGATTTTCCTTGCCTCCTTTTTACCTGTCTCTAGTTCTTTTATCCTAGGCAGGCAGGCAGTGTTAGAATGCGAGGCATTCACATCTGTTTGATGTTTAGAGCTCTGCGGCCCACTGCTAGTGCTGCTTCC